TTGTTGATGTTGCATGTTTTAATAGACAGTCTAAATGGTTAAAATATCTTACAAAACACAATCAATAAATCATATACATTATAACTAAGTAAAATACAACAGAAAAGGAACCCCTTTACCATTTCATTTATAGAGAGCACAGAAAAGAGACCAAAGTAGAATATTGCAATCGTGATTGGTCAATCTCTTGAAATGAGGTAAAATCATTCAAGCATCACTGGCGTTAGCTCAGTGGCGTTAGCTAATCTGGGGTCTGCAGGTAGCGTTTTAACGCCAAGGACGTAGGTGAGTGGCTTTAACAACGCCACTGCCTAGTTATATATATATATATATATATATATATATATATATACATACATACATACATATATATATATATATATACATATAGTATATATATATATATATATAAATAAAATAAATTATGTTTACAATATTTAATTCATAAAACTATTAAAATAATTATATGTTAATAAATAAATACAATAGTTAATTTATCATGATATATGGTAAATATGTATACTATGAAGTATGGCATGATAATAATTGTAATTAAAAAAAATTGTAAAGAAAAAAATAATTGTCGGAGTTTTGCATTAATCCAATTTTAATTTAGAGCAATTTTGTTTGTACGTCCATAACCAAAATTTAATTTTTTTAAAATATTTTCAAAGCAGATTTTAGGTCCCAAGTACAATCATCTTAAAAAAAAGAAAAATTTTATCCCCAATTTTAAAGTTAGTATACGCCATAATTTATACTGTAAATGCCCATAACCGTTTTGTACATCCATAACCGTACGTCCATAACTAAAACCTAAAATGTGGATTTGTTACCACTAAACATCTTGTATACAGTGTGGAAACTAAAAATCTACTGCTGTTCTTTCTCAGAGAGAATCTTCATCAACTTTTTCTATAACTATGGCAACTATCTGCCCTCTAGCTTTTACAATTTATGAGTAATGTTATAAAAATAGCTGGTTATGGACGTACGCAGCGAAAATGATTTTTCAAACATACATTTAACATTTTTAAATTTACAAACATCATGTTGATTAATGTGTGTTTAGAATACTGTAGAGCCAAAATTGATTTATATCGCAATGAAGAAAACAATTACCGTAATGTATAGACTGATGTTTAAAAAAAGTGAGAAAAATTGCCTTTATTGTTGGACTACTACCTAGAATTGTAGAAAATTTGGCTTGTTAAAAATTTAACATTTTTAAGTGATGCATTCTGAATTAATTTTTTTTTGTAATGATGTATTTTAGAAATATAAAATAAATTGATGTAGTAGGCCTGCCTACTATGTATACTACATAAGAAAATTGTACAAAAATAGACCTACCTACCTTTGAAACACATGATCAATTATCGTACAGTATAGTGTATGAAAAATGGAATATTTTTTGAGGTTTTTAGACCTTAGTATACATTTTGAAAAGTTTTACTGCTTTATTTCAATAAATGATATTTGGAAGTTGATATTGGCTAATTTGAGTATACGAAAAATATTAGGTATACGTCCACAACTTTCAGATATGTATGTCCATAACCATAAGACTGTATGTCCATAACCATAAGGAAATGAACATAAAATCTATGCACTGTACAATCAATAAATGAGCTATTATATTAGGAAGCTTTAAGTCCTTGGTTTACACACACATATTTTTATTTATTTTTTTAGACCTCACACTTCACTTTTCCTCTGCGTACTTCCATAACCGGCTATTTTTAGAACATTACTCATAAATTATAAAGATAGAGGGCTGATAGTTGTCATGGTTATAGCACTAGTTGGTATATCTGAGATATCAAAAGTACAGTAACCCAAACCCATTGGCCTATATTGAAGGCTTTGCTATTGTTCTCTGAAATGTACGTCCTTAACTATGGAACTGCCCAAATGTAATTGAACTGCAAAAACAGCTACTGTACATTCACCAATTTATACCAGTCACAAAAAACTATTTAAACATAAAAAAAAATCACTGACAGGTTATATTGCACGTGCTTGTTTTTATACCAGTAACAATTGTTATTCCTTGTTTTAAAAAATCTATATATTTTGTGTGACTATTATTTGTCTGTACAGGTAATACATGATTTTCGTATTTAGTATAATTGTCTACTCCCCTAATGTGCTTAACACAAGACTTGTACACTATATGATTTTGATTAATGTATAGCTATGGATAATAACATCTTTAGATCAATGCTAACACCCCTAGATGAATGCTAACATCATTAGGTGGATGCTAATACCAGTAGATGAATGCTAACATCATTAGAAGGATGCTAACATCCTTAGATGGAATCTAACATCTCTAGACTTTTAATACTTAATGATGATGATAATATTTATTCAGCAAAGTAAAAAGTACAATCTTGCCAGGAGCAAGGAATAGGCACGAGCCCAACAGTAAACTGCCCTTGCTCCATCATCAAAACATACAGTAAAGGCAAAAGAGAAACATAAAAAATTATAAATGATTTAAAATTAACTTAACTAAAAAAACAATAAACTTAACTAAACTTAAATTTGTACTTAAATTAACACTAAGAAGACCCTTATTTATATTAATTATGCTGAAACACTTCTTTAGATCTATATAACACTCTTTAGATGGATGCTAACACTTCTATCTTTAGGTGGGTTCTAACCTCCTTAGCTTGATTTTGATACTCTTTCTAGGTGCTAACACATCTCTCAGTGGATGCCACTTTTTCTTAATAAAACTATAATATATTTATAATATTATATTTATATTATTATTATATATTTTATTGTAATTGTTATTCTCATTAGTGATATTCTAACTATTTCAATAATTGACAGCAACCAAAAGATTGGTCCCGGATTGATGAGACCAAGCTAGTGAAGAAGCTGCTGCAAGAGGTATCTCATTTCCTCAATGGGTCCAGTGACAATGCCATGGCTTGTGAACTAAAACAGCGGGCATCAAGAATACTGTTTTCCCTAAGTCAGACGAACTTCAACGCCATGTTTAAGCGCATCTCAAGCAGGTGAGTTACATTGATTTTTTAATGGCCCTTACCGCTAAACCCCCCCCCCCCCCCTTTGATACGGTTGCTATGGTCCACAAAAAATGATTGCATATTAACATACATAAATACATGTGTCTGTAGGACAATACGTGTGTTGGTGTGAGAAGCCCATAATCCTGGCCCTGTTTTTATTGGTCAGTTGTTAAGTTGTCGGTGTTTATTAGACATTCTGGAAAGATCTGTTGTATATTCTAAAAAACAAGTTTTTGAAAAGTGATATTCTGCTACGTTGCATGTATTGTTAAAACTAAGTTTATGTGTAGTAATCATTAGAAGAAGGATTATCCTTTATTTTTATATTCACTTAATTTTTCCTCATCATCCTGTTGTATCTTTCACCTCTTCCTTATACTTCTTCCCATCATTGACACATAATTGCCAGTATAATTAGAGATAATTAACTTTCCTTTTGTATTCAAACTGATATGCATCTGTATATGCCAGAACATAAGGTGAAGAAACTAGGTTTACACATACAAAGGGTCATACCAGTTTGTTATTATCATCTCCATTGTTATTACAGTATTTTATGAATTGGGTGTCGGTGATCTAAATATATTCTGAAGTTAATCAATAGCTATTATAATAAGCAATTTCATTTATCTAGGTTAATGGTGAATTGGAGAAACCCAACCATGTTAATGAGTTTAAAAACCTAAAATAAATTTCAAAATTTGAAATGCTTAATTTTTAAAGCAAGGTATTATCTTTAAATTATATAGGAAAAAAAAATACTTCACCAATTAATTGATATTAACATATTTTCTCTATTTTTACAATGAAATGTCTACAAACTAGCAAAATAATCTGATTTGAAGTCCTTTTATAGGATTGAATGAACTCCGATAAGGAAAAAAAATATATTGTTTCCCAAGCATTGACATTTGGAAAAGAAGCCTGATGAGTTGAAAATATTTTTTTTAAACAGTTTTTATACCTTGCTTCGCAAACTTTTTTTTTTTTTAATTGTCAGGAGGGCGGGAAAAAAAATAAAGTAAAATTTTGTTTTCTTCCATCCAAATGGAGGAGAAAATAAAAATAAAATGCTATTGTTGAATGTAAACAGTATACGGTACGGTAGTAATGGGATAGTTAAATGCTTTAAATTTATATAATTAAAAAGAAAAATACATACTTTCTGAGATTTCAAGGTAGCAGTGGGCGTATGAAAAGAAAGAAAAAAAAAAATTTCCCTTCTTTTGTTGGTGGCGATTGTGTTAATTGGCCAAAAATAAAAATTTATGATTTTTCGAAATCATCATTATTCTGACTATTGGTCCATTGCCAATAGTCATTCCTCCCCTTGTATTTTGAATGATGAAATAATAACCACAGGGCTAAAATCAGGTTTAAATTATCAAATATTATGTAAAGCTTGAACAATTTTGGGAGTAGTAATAAGTTTATAGCAGAGTTGTCTATGTTTATTATGTAAAGTATTATGACCTTAATAGATGGTAAACTTTGTAAATTGTCAATGGTTGTAGATTTATTGGACACACCATATGGTTCGTCTTGACAGTGAACAAAACTCATAACTACCATACTGTACATTATGTTGAAGAGACAGACACTCCAAAAAAAGTCAGTCGCTATTTTTCTCCTTTTCAAATTGCCAGAAACATTCAAATATCTTTGCGGCCAGCAAGTTGAATTTACCCTCAAGAATTCAAGAGCTTCACCCCAGGTCCATATTAGTAGAACAAGTTGCCTGCAAATTGAAGATTATCTTCGGCCTGTGAGAAAAAAAATCAAAAAATAATTTGTCCCTTCAAACAAATTAAGAACTAGTGTTGTAGACAGTCAATTAAAACCTTTCTTATTCTGTACTGTTGCCACAATTCTTTAAAAAAAAAAAAAAAAAAAAAAGGAAAATATACTTAATAAATT